GACAGCATGCTTGGTAAAGTGGTGGTTCAGCAAAAAAAAAAAAGAGGAAGACTCCTAATAAGATGAATTGGCATAGTGACAGCAGTAATTGGCTCAAGTGTAATGACAATTGTGAGGATGGTGCAGGACTGGGCAGTGTTTCATTCTGATGTGCAGAGTCACTTTGAGTTGGAACTGACTTGACGACACCTAAGAACAGCAACAACGTGAGTAGGTATATGGATAAGCAGGCTGCATGGGTGTGAGAAGGAGAATGGGAGTATTCCCAAGAGCACAAGACAGAGTGATGGACTTCCCATCCCTATTGCATGACTAAAGCTGAATATCTTCAGCAAGGAGGCTGAAGAGTGGTGCAGAGTGGTGCACACTTGCAGAGTGGTGCACCTCCAATCGTATAATTGGACAAGAGGTTTGCTGACCCATGGAGCTAGAGCTGAATGTCTTCAGACTGACACTTATGGTAGAATGGGGTGTCCTTTGGGCATTTATTGGCAGCACTAAAGGAGCTTTGCACCCATTGCTAGAATAGGTCAGAGTCTAAGGGGCTACATGACTAAGAAGCTGAGGACTAGAAAGAAGTGTGCCTGTAGTGCGGCAGAGAAGAGACTGTCCTGACTGGAACCTAGCAGACAGTGATGTGGGAGGGATGATTTGTGTCAGAATTGATAAAGATGGTTGGAGGATGGAGGCATGTTGGACCTTCACCTCACAGGAATTGGCCAAGGGATACTGCTGATGGTAATTCTTATCCTTCTCTCTTATGAAGTCAGAGGAAGTCAGATGCTGCCCTGTGTCATTCTTATAATAGAAAATTATGAAAATTTATATGGGTATAAATATGGTTACTTACTAGCTCATTGATTTCCCACCAGAACAATCCAGAGTCTGAGAAAATTGTCCTTAAGCACTATGGATTTATACAGAGAGACATAGCTTGACCAACATTGTATCTTATTTCCTGCCTATCAGATCTGGTCTCTGATGTCCCAGTGAAAACTCATCCTTCTTTGGACCAGTTCTTCCTGGCTCTGGGTCTTAGCTTAAGGGACTATATTTGTTTTTCTGCTCTTGCTATTGGAAATTTCTTCCTTCTTGTTACCCTCCTCAGCCTCCCAGTCAGATGGCCCCTTAACCTCTGCCCTGTTCACTTAGGGGCTAGAGTTCTACCTCTTAATGCTATCTGGCTACTTGTCATTCACTCTATCTAAGAAGACTTTCTTGATGATGCCCATGGGAGAAGCAGCTGCCCAGAATTTTTTATATGACTTTTGACTACCTGAATGAGATTTCCTAGCTGGGGACAGTCATTGGTTATTTAAATGACAAGCAATAAAGTCCTGGTGTGACACATATAGGATAAGCAATTAACTGCAAGGTCAGTTTGAACCACAAGGTCATTGGTTTAAACCCACCAGTTACTCCTTGAAAACCTTATACAGGGTGGCTGTGAGTCAGAACTGACTTGATGACACTTAACAAAAGCAATGATAGCAATACTAGTAAGCAAATGGCTGTTGAGTCCACTCCAACTTGTAGTGTCCCGTGTGTGTCAGAGTAGAACTGTACTCCAAAAAATTCTCAAGGGCTGATTTACTAAAAAAAAAAAAAAATCTCCAAGTCTTTCATGGTATGTTGGGTAGACTTAAATCTCTAACTTTTTGGCTACCAACTGAGTACATTGACATTTGCACAACCCAGAGACTCCAATAATAACATTCTTTGCGTGCTTACCATCTGGAAGACATTTTGCTAAATAGTTCACAAATATTACCAGAGCAGAATTTCCTGCCTGTCCTGTTTGTTGATCATCTACATTAATTCTTCTGTTGCCTGTCCTGATGCTCTATAATGCAAAAATGTCCCCAAAAATGCCAACTTATACAAATATAGGCTTATTTTTTAAATCTCTAATTACCTGCACCATTATCCAAAAGGTCCAAAACTTCTGTTTCTCCACTTTTTGATTCAATGAAGGCAGTCACATTTACTCCAAGAACAGGTAAGTACCCTTGTTGAATTTCCGCATAAACAATCACTGGGGCAGGGAAGCTGTTTGTGTCCTTATTCATTTTAGCATTCACTATGATTGGAGGCACAGAATTTACTACCTGAGATGTCACTGTCACAGTTAATGTTTCTGGGTTTACTTTGGCTTGAAGACTGTAAGTCCAAATGCCCACCTAAAAAATTCGATGAATAAATAGTTAATACACAAAGTAAAGATATTTTCTGTGTTTCTATTATCCAGTTCTAAAAGTACATCTTAGAGATGTAATAAAGGAGGCAAATATATTTGAAAATTTGTACAGTAACCTGGTGTGGTGCTGTAGTATAAGCACTTGCCTACTAACCACAAGGTTGTCTGCTAACCCACCAATCACTCCTTGGAAACCCTATACAAGTTGCTATTAGTCAGAAGTGACTCTATGGCACTTAACAATAACAATAACAGTAACCCACAGATGAGGGCTGAGAAATTTCATGAAGGCACCCCTACTAGTGCTCTGACCCAAGAGCCCACAGATATGAAGTATATAACATAGGGTTCACAATGGCCAATGTTTTTTGGAAATAGCTGGGTTTTCTTTCATGGTGTGTTGGGTAAACTTGAACCTCTAACCTTTTGGTTAGCAGTTTAGTATGGTAATACTTGCACCAAACAGGGGGGACTTCAATTATAACAATAACTGTCATTCATTGAAAGTTTACAGTCTGCAAGATATTGTGCTAAGCACTTTGTATATATTACCTGGACAGTTTCCTGCCTCTCCTGGTATTCCCTAATTCTTTGCGTCACATCTTCTAGTGCCCATCCTACTTTCCCATACTGCTCAGGGCTGCATAACAATTTCCACCTCTGTGTGGACCCTAACCTCCAATCTTTCACTTAGTAGCCAAGCACAATAACCGTTTGTATGTCAGACAAATTCCTGAATAACCCTTGATAGGGCTAATAAGGAAGGAGTTTGTAGCTATGTGATCACTCTGCGCTAGAGACTGTAACAAAATTTCCTTTTCAGAGTTTTCTTGGACAAGCTGTGTTTTATCCTTTGTTTTTTTTCCCCTTTCTCCTAACATGTAAATTCTTTCTTTTCCCCCCTCCCATCAAATTAGTAGATCACACAGGACTGAAAAGTGCATTGTGTTTATCTTAATTTTGAAGGTGATGCAATTGTGAGCACTGAAACATTAAACTATATATTATTATACATTTCATTTACATCTTTTGAAAAAAATTAAGAGAAGTCATCTAATAGCTGATATCTCACCTTTGCAAATCCTGGAATAGTGAGATAGGCCATTTTGGAGTCTTTGTCTTCTGTGAATTCTCCCATCTGTCTTCCATTGGGATCCCAGAGAGAAATTCTAGGAGGCTGTTTGTCCCATGTGACAAAAAAGAACGTGTCCTTTCCCACGGTGCTATCAATGATTACAGTGCCATTCATCCAGGGATCCTTGGTGAGGGTTAATCCCTTACTCTCAAGCTGTTGAATATATTTTTAAGCTTAATGACTGGGGAAGATAACAGTTTAATTTTTCTTTTTAAGTTAGTCTTTAATTTCTGGTCTGAGAACAAGCTTAATTATGGCATACCATACTTTAGACTTGTGAACTCTTTTAGTTATGACGGTTGTTAGTCAGAAAATGTGGAAATATAGGATCTGAATAAAGGACAGGGTATACGAAAAGTATTGGGGTAGAAACCTGGGTTTTACTATTTGAGATATGGCTCTATTATAATTTAAATTGTGATGGCAAACACTCTTCCACGCTTTAACATTAAAGGGTGCACCAACCATAAAGAAGAATTAGTTGTAACATGTGTGTCTATGATCTATCCTCTTTCCCCATCTTCCTGATATCTGAGAGGAAAATATTGATGACTAGAATATTTTAGTAGCAACAGAGTGAGGATGACTTGAAAACAAACAAACAAAAAAAAATGAGGACTAACAAACATTGAGACAATCACTCACAGATCTTTTCCTGAAACATCCTGAAGTAATTTTCAGCACACGATAGAATGAGTATCCTCTGGGAAATAAATATTGTTCAATAAGAAGAGAGAGAGGACAAACTGAAGTTTAAGAGGGTTGTCATCCTGAGAGGAAAAGAAGTGAAAGAAAAGACTTTCTTTGAGAGGAACTTTGAAGAAAAAGTTTTCCAAAAGTCTGTGTGGACAATTCTTATTTAAGAAGATGCAACTTTATCCATTGACCAAGAAGTTGCTTTCAGAGGGATGATATTTCAGGAACAATGGGATGCTCTGCACCTACTCCAATTTAGTTCTAACTAAGCCCAAAACACTTCTACTCTACCCCTGAAAGGAAGTGAAGTCTGCTATTGACACATTGCTTTGACAAAAATCTTCTCAGAGCTTTATTTAAGTGCACACCTTTGAGTGAACAAAGTCTTATTTTCAAATTAAATTTGAATTTGAATGGCTTTCTAGACACTCTACCAGAATGCACTAAGAGAGCAAGAGGATTTTGGCTACAGGTATAAAAAGGACTGAAGCCTTTCTTTTTCATTCCAGCTGCTACCATCTTAATCCAAGTTCCCATTAACTTATGTTAGAATACTATAATGGACTTCTAGTGGGCCACAATATTTCCCAAGTTCTCCCCATAATCTGGAGGAACAAGATTAATGTAAAAATTGGTCTTCTTTTTGTTATTTTCTATCAAGACCTGACCACAGATACTTCAAGTGAGAACACAACTTTCTTTTCGCTGCTTCAACTCCTCTAAGAACTCCATTTTCAAAATATTGAGTCCCTCTTATATGCAAATGCCTCCTTTTGTGTGTGTGTGTGTGGCTAATTTCCCATATTCTGTACTTACATATTTAGATACTTTCTGAAGCATTGCATTTGATTATCCCATCATCCTGTAAAGACTACCAAGGCTAAAACAGAACACGAAATAATGTTCTCAAAATCAGTTCTCCCTCCTCACATCTGAATTCCACTCATGTCTGACTTCTGAATGTCTTTGTGTTACTAATGTGCTCTTAGCCAGTCAGGCAGAATACAACTAAAGTGTATATCCAGACCAAATTTCAGCTTCATTTTCAGAGTTTATGTCCAGACCAATCTATACATATTACCCTGCCCCCACTTTCTAGTCAAAACGTATACATTGATTCTAATTTATAGTGACCCTAGAGGACAGAGTAGAACTGCCCCATAGGATTTCTAAGATACAATCTTTACAGAAGCAGACAGTCACACCTTCCTCCTGCAAAACCACTGGGTGCTGGGTGGTTCCAACTGCCAATCCCTGTTGACAATACAGAATAATTAACAACTGCACCACCAGGACACCTTCGAGTGTCCTGTTGCTGTTGTTAAGTGGCCTCAAGTCAGAATCAACTCATAATGACCCTGTATAGATTTCTGAGGAGAAGCTAGTTTAAAGGGTGAGTTTAACCTACTGACCTTGTGGTTCACAGTCCAGTGTTGATCCTATAGTGGCTACACCAGAAGTGCTCTTTATAAACACTAAATAATGCCTTCTAATTACTATTGTTTTGAGTAGAGGAAAATCATTTGGTTAGTGGATTATGACAAGTTATAATGTAGTCAGTGATTTGATGAACTTGAGAGATGGAAGACAGCAGTCTTGAAATTAAGTACCATGATCTATGCATAGTGGGAAGGGATATGTAGAGAAATAGATTGTGATAAAATCACATTTTAAAAAGATAAACAGATTATGTTGACACTTAGATGAAGTAATCAAAGTTTACACAAAGGTCTTGAATTTTAGTATCAGAAAATGGTGCTGTTATTGAGACACAGTCTTGATGTGGCGCTGTAGGATAAGCACTGGACTGCTAACCACAAGGTCAGGGTTTCAAACATACCATGTGCTCCTTGGAAACTTTAAACAAGTCACCATGAGCTGGAATTGACTCGACAGCATTTAACAACAACAACACTGAGAAACAGAAGATGGGGAAAAGAGTTGAATTTAGGTGAAGGTTGGAACAAATAACAATCCAGTGAAAAAAGTGGTTAATGACATAAGAGAAGAACTAGGCTCAGAGATGTACAATGACTATTCACTGCTTTTCTCCTGCTCACTGTAGCCTGTAGTCTCAGGATACATTCCTTACATTTCCAGGCCAAATTCTTGAGTTCATTTGTTTAAGTTTGGATCTATTTCACAGTAGTTAAAGGTGGTTCTGCTGTAATGCAAGAATTTTTAACGCATTTAAATTTTCAAATGAATTTCTAGAGAAATGGGTGTTATGTTACTGGAGTAATCATATATTTGGGGGATAAATTTGACATTATCAGGTTTTGGTGTTATCTCTTAAAACCCTAATGGGAAAAGGGAAAGAAATGATGGATGTTTGATGCTTGTCGCTGCTGTTGGTTCACTGTCCTTTCAAACATACTTTTATATATTTGACAAATGTAGATAGAAATGAACAATTTTCAAGTTATTTCTTTATTTTTTATGTTTCAAAAGCTTAAAGGTTCGGAATAGATCTCAAGGAATTTTAGATGAGAAATACATGGTTTAATATTCCAAATGTGGAAAGTGATATCCTATGGGTTTAGGGGATGCACACTGGTCTCTTGACTCACACTGTACTATATTGCTGCTAAATTCATTACATGAAAATCAGAGGTTTGCAACAATGATGAAATAGAGAGGTTAATCTTTGAATTAGTCATGCAGACAAAATGGAAATTAAAAGTAATGTCTATTTAGAAAAAATAGTACATCAATTTTATGCAATGACTCATTGAATGGTAAGTATTTATTAATAATGCTATACCAGAAATATTGAGCATACATTTTTTATAAAACTTACTTTCTAATTTCAGTCACTTAGCATTGTAGTCCTATACATAAACTCTAATTTCACCACATAATTGATAAGTCTTGCACTTTAGGCATAGTTTTAGACTGAAGGTTTAATTTTAATTAAAACTTTACTATGAAAAAATACAGAACTAAAAATATGTAAACATGAATGTCCCCTATTTGATTATGGCAAGTGCAAACATGAGAATCCAGGGATGGGAACTCTGACCTGGAGCGTCTGCTGGGAGAGATCGATGTTTCCTGATGTGAGGCTCCCAAAAGCACTCATGAAGCCATTGTTTTGTACTTGATCTGATACATAATGATGAGTTCCTCCTAAAATGTATGTACATAGTAAAGTTACTTTCTAGAAAATAGCTCCTTATCCATTTTTTGAGGGGGTGTTTAAATAAGGTAATAATATAAACAAAAGCACAGTTTTAGAACAGAATGAAATCAGATACAAAGATTAACTTTCCATTGTCAATTCAGTGAAGTCATAAGTAGGGAGTGCAAGCTGTCTTATCAGTTATCTGCAAACTTTAGCTACATTTAGTAAGCATGGAATACAAAAAAAAAAAAAAGTTACAATTCCATAGTATTTAAGTTCACAGACTTTATTTTACATAGTACTTTAGGCGAATTATTCATAGTTACTTAAGATACAGTTCCAGTAATACTCACTTTTAGTTTTTACTACCACCATAGGTCAAAATCAGAAAATTAGAAAAGTTAAAGAGCTGCTATATTGAGGTATCCTGATAGCAGCTGTCAGTGAGGAGATAGAAAACCTGTAAGCAACAGATTCTAGTCCACAAAATATGACTTTGGGAATTGTGGTTACTTGGACAGAAATACATTTTACAATGACAATGAAAATATTTGAAAATGATGCAAGTTTGTAAAATTGCTGTTAAGTGCCATTGAGTCAGTTCTGACTCATAGCAACCCTGTATATATAGGGTTTCTGCTGATTTTGTGGTTTAAACCGACCTTTTGGTCCAGTGCTTTATTCTACAGCTATGGCATTAAAGGAGTCCTGGTGTGGTGCTGTGGGTTAATGAGCTAGACTACAAAGCCAGTTTGAACTGCAAGGTTAGTGGTTCAAGCTCACCAGTCGCTCCTTGGAAACCCTCTACAGGGTCGCTATGGGTCAGAACCGACTCGATGGCACTTAACAACAACAATGGCATTAAAAAGGCAAAAATATAGTTAATAAGATTAGAAGCCGATTCAATGCAATAATTGATACTCATAATTTCTGCTTAAATTATCTTGAGATTTAAAAATCACACATTTTCTACTACGTTTAAGAAGTCATGGGGTACATGTAATCTATTTTCATCCATACCTTGTAACGGCTATCATAGTTGATGCTTTATCTAGAAACTTTGTTGTTATTTAGAGCTATTCAGCTTGAATTTCTGTTAATTTCACTTTCCCACCTCAGAGTCCATGTTCTGGTCTCACAGAATAGAACACCATTCCCAGTATGTGCTCTGTACTGTTACCTCAATGTGAAAAGTTTTTCTTTGCTGATAGCCTGATCTTTTTCTCTTACCTCTTTCTCCTCTCAGGAACTCTGGTAACATAGTGGTTATGAGTCGAGCTGCTACCTTCAAGGTCAGTAGTTCAAAACTACCAGCTGATCCGTGGGAGAAAGATGAGGCTTTCAGCTCCCGTAAAGATTAACAGCCTTGGAAATCCTATATAGGGTTGCTATGAGTAGAAACTGACTCCACAGCACCCAGCCACCACCACCTTTTTACTCCCAGAGAAATCCAACACCTTTTTCAAGGCTCAACTCTCAAGTCACCTAGTATTTGATGCTTAGTTTCTCTGAACCATCCAAGCTTGGGAGTATTAACAGCTTCCTCTGCTCACACAGACAGTTATTTTTTCCTGTTGTAAGAAAGAACTGCCTGATTATGCAATGTGATTAGCAGTTTTGTTTATTTCTCAGGATAGCTAGACTGTGAGCATCTTGACAATAGTGACTGTGTTTGGCTCAACTCTGGTCCCCAGCTCCTGGCACAGTGCCTGCCAGAGCAGGAGCTTGAGAGAGCTTGTCAGGTTGTCAGTTTCTTCATTGAAGCATTACTAGGGCTGCTATGAGTTGGAATTGATGCAATGACACTGGGTGGGTATTAAGGCCTAGAATCCACAGGCCATTTCTTACCTGTCATACTGCTCATCTCTATTACTGCTGGTTCAGAAGACGGTCCAATAGCAATCAAATGAATGATTGCTCCACTTTGTATTACTTCCTCCATACAATTCCTTACAGTGTTGTCCTCCCCAGCTATTAGCAATATTATTTCAGATCCATCTATTTGGGGAAATTTTTCTCTAATCACCTGCAAACATAATTCTGGGTATTAATTTTCAGATGTACCTAGATCAAATGGATTCAAGGGGAATTAGGGAAAAAAATCAGAGGAAATAAAAGTGTACAGAATAGGCGAGATAACTTATGTTTTAAAGCCATAGAATCTGTAATCAACAACTTCTGTGTAAATGAACTATGACTTTTTATTTTATTTAGTTTTGTTCATCTACTGCAGGGAACCACCTCTTGGCTATCAGTTTGACATACTGTAGTGGCTTGTGTGCTGCTGTGATCCTGGAAGCTATACCACTGACATCTTAAATACCAGCAGGGCTACCTATGGTGGACAGTTTTTAGCAAAGCTTTCAGACTAAGACAAACTGGGTATAAGGAAAGGCAGATTAATTCTGAATGGTGAGCCACTGAAAATGTTGTGAATAGTACTGGAACATTGTCTAATATCGTGCCAGATGATGAGCCCATCATGATGGAAGGCGCTCAAAATACAAATGACTGGGGAAGAGTTGCCTTCTCAAAGTGAGTTTACTTTGATGATGTGAGTGGAGCAAAGTTTTCAGGACATTCATTTGGTAATGAGAAGAGACAATGGCAAAATCCATTAATAATGGGAGGATGGAATGTACAAAGCATGAATCTAAGAATTTTGAAGTAAAAATGATATAGAAAGCCTAAAGATCAATATCGTAGCCATAGTAAACTGATATGAACAGATATTGGTCATTTTGAATCAATTATATGGTTTACAATGCAAAGAACAACAAAGTGAAATGTAATGGCATCACATTAGTTGTCAAAAAAAGCATTTCAAGATCTTATTAAAGTGCAATGTTGTCTGTGATAGGTTAATATACATATGTATCTAAGGAAGACCAGTTAATACCACTGTTATTCAAACTTGCTCACCAATGACCTAAAGCCAGTGATGATGAAATTGAAGAATTCTACCAACTTCTTCCATTTGGAATTGATCAGACGTATAATAATGATGTATTGATAATTACTGGTGACTAGAATGTGAAAGTTGGAAACAAAAGAAAGAATCAGTAGTTCGAAAATGTGATCTTGGTGATAGAAACGATGATGAAGATGACAGGACAGAATTTTGTAAGACAATTTATTCATTGCAAATATCTTTTTTTTCAGCAACATAAACAACAACTATACACATGGACCTCACCAGATGGAATACACAGGAATCAAATTTATATCTATGGAAGGAGACTACAGAGAAGCTGTATTATTATCCAAAACCAGGCCAGGGGCCAACTATGGAACACACCATCAATTGCTAATCTGAAAGTTCAGGCCCCAGCATTCATCTGTCAGTTTGTGGTACTGTGGTGGATTGTATATTTCTGTAATGCTGGAGGCTGTGCCACAAGTATTTTAAATACTATTAGGGTTACCCTTGGTGGATAGGTATGAGCTGAGCTTCCAGACTAAGACAGACTAGGAAGAAGGAGAGGTAGATTACTTTCAGTTAAAACTCTGAAAACCTTATGAATAGCAGCGAACCAGTCAGAGAGCACCAGAACCATCAAGAATAGCACTAGAATATTGTGAGATGTAATGGTGGAAGATGAGCTCCTCATATTCAAATATGACAGTGGAAATGCTGCTTCCTCAAAGTAGAGTTGACCATGATGACACGAGTAAAGTAAAGCTTTTGAGACCTTCATTTGCCATTGGAACACAGCTCAAAATGAGGAGAAACAACTGTAAACATCCATTAATAATCAGAACATGGAATGTACAAAGAATGAATCTAGAAAAATGGGAAGTTGTCAAAAATGAAATGGAATGTATAAAGATCAGTATCCTAGGCATTAGTGAGCTGAAATGGACTGTTTTTGGCCATTTTGAATCTGACAATTACATGGTTTACTATGCAGAGAATGACAAATTGAAGAGGAATGGTACCTTTTCACCAACAAAAAGAATATTTCCAGATCTATCTTGAAGTATAATGCTGTCTGTGACATGATAGTATCCATACACCTACAAGGAAGACTGAAGTCCTAGTGTGGCACTGTAGGATAAGCACTGAACCGCAAGGTCAGATTGAAGTGCAAGAATGGCAGTTCAAACTAACCAGCTGCTCCTCAAAAACCCTAAACAGCATCGCTATGAGTCCAAACTGACTTGACAGCACATAACAACAGCAACAACCACAACAAGGAAGACCAGTTAATACCACTATTATTCAAATTTATGCACCAACTACTAAAGCCAGTGATGATGAAATTGAGAATTCTACCAAATTCTTCAGTCTGAAATTGAACAAACTTGCAATCAATATGTATCGATAATTAATAGTGATTGGAATGTAAAAGTTGAAAACTAAGAGGAAGGATCAGTAGTTGGAAAATATGGCATTGGTGATAGAAATGATGTTGGAGATTGTAAGGTAGAAATCTGTAAGACCAATGACTTATTCATGGAAAATATCTTTTTTATATAACATAAAAGATGAGTATACCCAGGGACCTTACCAGATGGAAAACACAGAAATAAAATTGACTGCATCTGTGGAAAGAGACAATTAAAAAGCTCCATATCGTTAGCCAAAACAAGGCCAGGGGCAGATTGTGGGCCATATGTAAGTTCAGGCTGAAGTTGAAGGAAGTTAAACAAGTCCATGAGAGCCAGAATATGACCTTAAACACATCCCACCTGAATTTAGAGATTATCTCAAAAACAGTTTTGATGCATGAGACACTAATGACTGAAGACCAGGAGAGCTATGGGATGACATCAAGAATACCATACAGGAAGAAAGTAAATGTTATTAAAAAGACAACAAAGAAGGAAAAGACCAAAATTGATGTCATAAAGATGCTAAAGCAAATGAAAAAAAAAAAAAATGAGGAGGTAAAAGAGCTGAAGAGAAAAATTCAAAAGGCAGCTCGAGAAGACAAAGTCAAATATTATAATGACATGTGAAAAGACCTGGAATTAGAAAATCAAAAGGGAAGGTGATCACGTTCAGCATTTCTCAACCTGAAAGAACTGAAGACAAAATTCAAGGCTCGACTTGAAATACTGAAAGATTCTACATGCAAAATATTAAATAATACAGAAAGCACCAAAAGAAGATGGAAGAAATATATAGTCACTGTACCAAAAATATATGGTCAATGTTCAACCCTCTAAAGCATAAAATCAAGAGCCAATGGTACTGAAGGAAGAAGTTTAAGGGGCACTGAATTCCTTGGCAAAGATTAAGACTCTGGGAATTGATGGAATACAAACTGAAATACTTCAAAAAACGGATGCAGCACTGGAGCCACTTACTCATCTATGCCAAGAAATTTGGAAGACAACTACATGGCCAAATGATTACAAGAGAACCATATTTGTGCCTATTCCAAAGAGAGGTGACCTAATGAAGTGTGGAAAATGATCAGACAATATCATTAATGTTACATGCTAGTAAAGTTTTGCTAAAAATAAATAAAAAACAGCTGCAATAATACTTTGATATGGAGTTGCCAGAGGTTCAAACTGGGTTCAGTTGAGAATGTGGCATGAGGAATATTGCTGATGTCAGATGGATCTTGACTGAAAGCACAGACTATCAGAAAGATGTTTACCTGAGCTTTTTTGACTAGGCAAAGGCTTTTGACTATGTGAATCATGACAAGCTATTGACAACATTGTGGAGAATGGGTATTCCAGAACACTTAATTGTGCTCATGAGGAACCTGGACATAGACAAAAAGGTAGTCATTCAAACAGAACAAGAAGACACTGAATGGTTTAGAATCAGGAAAGCTATGTGACAGGGTTGTATCCTTTCACCATACTTAATCTGTATATAAGCAAATAATAGGAGAAAGTGGATTATATGAAGGAGAACATGGCATCAGGATTAGAAGAAGACTCATTAATAACCTGCAAAATATAGATGATACAACATTATTTGCTGGAAGCAAAGACAACTTGAAATATTTATTGATGAAGATCAAAGACTACAGACTTCAGTATGTATTGTATCTCAATGTAAAGAAAACAGAACTCCTAACCATTAGACCATAAAATTTTATGATCCCATTTTACTGATGTTGTGGCAACTGTGAACTAGAGATGGACTAAAGAAGGTTAGAATTATATACAAGGTCAACACAGCTATGATGTGACAGCATTTGAACCCAGGCCTTCATGTTAGAAATGTGCATGAAAGTACCATGTAATTAACAAAAGGTACAGACTGAACATGATTGGGAGTAACAGGAAAGCCTACATGAAGGATGAAAGGTTTTGAAGATTTGGTAGAATTTTAACATGCAAAGTTGAGAAAGAAGGAAGCAATATAGGCAGAGAAAGTGCATGGACAAAGATAGGAATGCAATTAGTACAGAGTGGGGTTTTGAGAAAAATGTGTGTGATAATGTAGGAGCATCAGGAGAGGAGTTTTGAGAATTCAAGCTGACAAGGTAAGTGGGAGAATTGTTATTGGGGAGTGGAAGGATTTTGAATGACATCAGACTGAGGAGTTTGGACTTAGTTTTATAGACTGAGGAGGCCATGAAGATTTCTAAACAGAAAATGATGCACTTGATATTAATTAGAAGATGAAGATGACCATTTGGATAAAAATAACATTCATAATGTTATGTGAATTGTACATTTACTGCTGTTGTTGTTGTGAGGTGCCATCGAGTAGGTACCGACTCATAGTGACCTTAGGCACAGCCAAAAGAAACACTGCCTGATTCTGGGCCAGCCTCACTACTGTTGCCATGCTTGAGTCCATCGATGCTGCCACTTGGCCAATCCATCT